CAATCTGTCTATTTCGACATGCTTCGTACGATCATGTTGAACTGAATTATGGGTAATATCACATGTTGCTTTATTATCACAATATAGTCGAATCGGTTGCCCAGGTAGATAACCTAAATCCCGCAATAGAAGTCTTAACCACAAAGTTTCACAAAGTCCAAGCGCCATACCTCTGAATTCAGCTTTTGCACTCGAGCGAGCAACGACATTTTGTTTCTTGCTTCTCCATGTAACAAGATTACCTCCTACAAAAGTGAAGTAACCAGAAGTAAATCGCCTATCATCTATAGCTCCAGCCCAATCAGCATCAGTATATGCATCTATGTTTTGATAACCAGCATTTTTAGTGAACAAAATTCCTTTTCCAGGAGTAGATTTCAGATACCTCAAAATGTGTACACCTGCATTCATATGTTGCTCTCCAGGATCATGCATAAACTGGCTAACAATGCTTAATGCATAAGCCAGATTTGGTCTCGTGTGTGCTAAGTATATCAATCTCCCTACAAGTCTTTGGTATCTTCCTTTATCAGCAGGTACTTGATTGGACTCAACACAAAACTTCAGTCCTTCTTCCACTGGTGTCTCAGCTGGTTAACCTGCTGTCATGCCAATCTCTTGTAAAAGATCTAAGGCATATTTTCCTTGAGATATAAAGGTTCCTTTATTAGATTGAGATACTTCGATCCCAAGAAAATATCTCAAAGAACCTAGATCTTTCATTTCGAATTCTCTGGACAAGTACTTCTTGAGAGTCTTCATTTCTTCAGGATCATTCCCTGTAACCACCATGACATCTACATATACAATGAGTGCAGTGATCTTACCCTGTTGTTTCTTCATGAATAATGTGTGGTCTGAATTACTCTGACGGTAGCCAAAGGCTATCATCGACTTTGTGAAGCTTCCAAACCATGCTCTCGGAGATTGTTTCAACCCATATAATGATTTATTTAACCTGCAGACCTTCCGACTATACTTTTCGGGTATCATGCATCCTGGGGGGAGATCCATGTAGACTTTTTCAGATAATTCTCCATGCAGAAAGGCATTCTTCACATCGAATTGTTACAATGGCCAATCCAAGTTTGCAGCTACAGATAACAAGACCCGAACTGTGTTGATTTTGGCTACAGGTGCGAACGTCTCTGTGTAATCGATTCCATAGGTTTGGGTGTAACCTTTTGCCATCAATCTTGCTTTAAAGCATTCAACTGTGCCATCGGCTTTATACTTCACAGTGTAGATCCATCGACATCCTACTGGTTTCTTTCCTGGTGGAGGATCAATGAGTTCCCAAGTGTTATTTTTTTGTAAGGATTTCATCTCCTCTTCTATAGCTACTTTCCACCTTGGGTCAGCTAGGGCTTCCTGCACACTGTTAGGAATAGATACAGTAGATAATTGATTTACAAATGACAAATTTGATTCTGACAAATGATGGTTTGACACATAATGACTCTTGGGATACTTAACTTTACTAGACAGTTTGGGTTCATATGTGGGTTTAGGAATACCTCTAATGTGACGCTGTGACAATTGTTTTCTACGTGGCTCAGGCAGTAAATCAGGAACAGCCTCAGCAAGCGATTGGTTTGATATATCAGTTACGAGGGACTCAAACGCAGACGACGGTGGAGTTGGTGCCATTTCTAGGTATTCATCACCACTTTGATCCAAACTTATATCACTCGAATCCAATTCGCCCGATTCTTGATTGGCTGGTTCAACTTGTGAGTCATCACTATTAGAATCGCCTCCTCAAAAGTGTGATAATCATAATCGAGAGTCTAAACTTCTTTCTGGTACTCCCCCTGAAGTTCAGACGCAGAGGAAAAATACATTGAGTCTTCATGGAAGACAACATTCATGGTGAGAAACATTCGTCGAGTTGGAGGGTGATAACAACGATACCCTTTTTTTACGAAGAGCATATCCGAGAAAAACATATCGCAATGCTCGAGGAGTTAGCTTGTTGCACTGATACTTATGGAGGTGTACAAAGGCTACACAACCAAAGACATAATGAGGTAGATTTGGGACGGTTGGGGCAAAAATTGTGTCAGTGAAAGCTTGCAATGGTGTCTGGAAGTCAATAGAGCTGGATTGTACTCGATTTATTAGATATGAGGCAGAGGTAAGTGCTTCTCCCCAATACGATAACGGTATATGATCTTCTATCAATGAAGCACGAACAACCTCCAATAAGTGACGATTTTTTTGCTTTGCAACCCCGTTCTGCTGGGGTGTATTGGAACAAGTGGTTTGATGAATAGTTCCATGGGCTCTCAAATAGTGTTAAAGATCCAAATTCCACCAAAAGGCCTTCACCGATAAACAAATGGAGATGCAAACAAAAGATGGAGATCCAGCAAAAACTGGATGAGCGGCCGACGATCTGATGATGGAGGTAGCAGATGGAGATTATCCTCCTTGTGCGATGGCGACGATGGATCTAGTAGCCATGATTAAGACGGCGGCAGGTTCGGCTCGGCTGAGATGGATCCGACGACACTACGGACATCGGTTCGGCCGTCAAAGGCTGCAGATTCAGCGACAGCTATTCAGGTTTGGCGACGGCGATATAGATTCGCGGCGACGGCGATACAGATTCTTCGAGGTGCAGCGGTTTGGTTACAGCTGGCTGTGACTTGTGACGACAATTGGTCCGGCGACAGCTGAGACTTGTGACGGCAGTGGCTGCGGCTTTATCGTCGTCGTTTCAGATCCCGATCCGGTGAGGTCTTTTAGCGGTTTGGTAGCGGCTTGTGATGGGTTAATTAATGGTGACTGTGAATTGATGTGTATGGGTATGGTTATGTTGTATGGCAATGAGATGTCTGTTGATGTATTGGCTGTGTATAGGTCTGGTATTTCAAAGCTAAATTCAAAGAGATTAAAAAAAAAAATTCAAAGAGATAAAAAATAACGGTTCAATGACGGCTCTGATACCATCTTGAAATTCAAAGAAATAATATGAGGATTAAAAACTCAATTCAATAATATTCACGATGGTATTATATCCAATTTATAGAGTAATACCTAGTTAAAATAGGTAACTAAATATACAATACTTGGGAAACAAATTACCTACTAATTAGCCTTAAATCACGGAGTAAATAATTCAATCCTATAGCTGTAGGATCCGTATAATCCTGGATTATAATAGGTAAAATCTCAACAAGTGTCACACCAAACGCCCGACCTAGAGGCGTCCGGGTGAGCCCACTTAGGTAGGCAGGGTGGTCTAGCTGCAACAAGGGCATTGCGATTTGGGTGGAGGAGAATATTACAAGGGGTACTTGTCTTATATCGAATCCGAATGGAAAATAAGTATAAATAGGTTGGTATGCAACACTACCTAATATCTTAAGATTTTCGATACATGAGCAACCGCCCACTTGTTATAACTTTAACCTTTAAATTTTTTAAAGCTTAGGTATAATTTATAAATAATTGGGTATTACTTTAGTTCACTTAGGTACAATTTATTATTTTTATATAATAAAAATAATTATATAAAATATAAATAATTAAAAAGTTATAAATCATGATAGGCAACTTTTAAAATCAAATACATATAGTTACAATTTCTTAAAAATAAATAAATGTTTAAAAGTTGAAAAGTAATTCTACACATGTTCTACAAATATAAATTCAAAATTGTATGGAATCAAACCAAACAAAACAGATCATTCATGACTTGGATTAATTTCATAGATTCCGTGGTTTAGTTCTAATTGCTCGACTATGATTCACCGAACGTGCTTTGTTCTTGCTCGGACCACGTGTGACTTAGGCTATATTTGGTATGGTGGGTTTGAAGGGGGAGGATAAGATTAGTTATGAGGGAAAGGAGAGGGAAGGATAATTTTTTCGTTGTGTTTGGTTGGTTAATGAAGGAAAAGAAAGGGAAGGATAATAATTATGTTTGGGAAAAGAAAGGAAATGGAAGGATAATAATAAATTTATTATTATACCCTTATTATATTTTAAAAGATATATATATATATAGTATCATATACCTGCACAAGAAAAGAAAAAAAAGAAAAGAAAAAAAGGGCAAATCTTCAGCTCCCCAGTCTCGCCTCCATCTCTATTATATATATATATATATATATATTCTCCTATATTAGCAGTTGGGCCACAAGAAAAGGAAAGAAAAATTTATTTCTTGAACGAAGGTCAATCAAGAAAGAATTAGACGATCCAGATCCAGTTGTAGCGACCTTCGTTCTTGAAGGTTCCGATCTAGGGCAAATCATTTCAGTCTCCCCAATCTCGGCCTCCATCTCTATTATCGTTCTTAACTCTTTATTTCCCTCTCTCTCTCTACAAGATTCAGAAGTTCAAAACCCAAACCCATATATTTCAGTTTATTTTTCTGTCTGCAAGAATCCCAAACCTATATATTTCAGTTTATCTTTCTGTCTGCACGAATCAAAAATTCAAAACCCGTATCGGTATATCAGATTGTTCAGAAAATCAAAACCCATATCTTTCAAGTTTCCATCGCCGCAGTTCTAGTTTGGGTTCGCCATCGCCGCAGTTCCAGTTCGGGTTCGCTGTTCCTAGCCGTTGCCTGCCGTTTCTTCATTCTTTCTGCAACTGCTAATTTTTATGTATATTGTTTTGAGGGTAAAATTGGCATCACAAATATTGCATCAACCATTGCCTTCCCTTTCCTCCCATTTTTGGGAAGTTAAACAAATCACTGTAGAAGGTTATACATAACCCTCCAAACCCTTCCCTCTTTTTCCTTTTCCTTCCACCCATTTTAACACAGTTTTTTTAGATACCCTCCATCACCTTCCCTTTCCTTTCCTCCCATTTCCCCTCTACCAAACTGAGCCTAAAATTTATCACTTTTTCCCTTTTGCTCCTGCTCCTGTTTTGCGGCCTTCACCCAGATTTAACTGACCCGAACCGAATTGAACCAAACAGTATCCGATGGTGAAATTGGATCAAATTATACTTTCTGGATGGGTTCGGATCAGCGTGCACCGTGCTAACAAATTCACAGGCCATTGTCCAACCTTACCTCTGTTGAACAGCTCCGGCCATCAACTCCAGATCAAAAATCAGTGATGGAGATTGCATATACATAACACCTCCAAATCCTAAAACATGACCACCACTGCACACACAATCTCTCTATATTTACACACATATATATTTGTACAACTCTGTTTTCGTCGATACATACTAGTATACAAAAATAAAATGCTCAGATGAAGATGTTGAGACACTGTACAATTGACGCTCACACGAAGACTGTGCTCTTACTTTCTTCTCTCTCCTCTTCAACCTCTCCTTCCTCCACAACAAGAACAATCAGAGCATGTAGAACACTCTTTACGCATTCAAACCCCAGTACTGTCCTTGCTAAACCACCACAATTTCACTCTTCTTGTTTCTCTCTTCCCGAAACCCTAATTTTTTCCCCAACTTCTCATTCCTCGAATCTCAATTCTAGAAGCGCTTGCAGTTTCGTCTCCGATTTGAGCTTCGTCGTCGCTCAATGCATGTCACCGTCTTCGTCGCCGGATACGATGGAGTGGAACGACGTCGTTTCGTGCTCGGAGGTTGGGGATGGTAGCAATGGTGGAGGTGTGAGTGAGGAGGATGTGAAGATCTCTATTCCAGTTAGGGCTTATTTCTTCTCTACTAGGTTTGATTCTCATTGTATATCTGTGGAATTTATGCTACAGGTTGTGGATTACTTGAATGCATATTTAGTAACATGTTCAGGTGGTTCATAAAGTAGAAAAGACAGAACTTTTGAAGACATTTGTTTTATTTTATTCGTTTATTTATTTATTTTAAATTTTTTGAAGGACGAAATGCTAGAGAAAATGGGTTTTGTGCATTCTGAGTTTCCAGAAAACAGATGAAAATGCAAGGGGAATCTGATTATTTTCCATTGTTTTTATATTCACAAAACTGGATCTCACATAATCTGTTTTCTTTGTTATTTATTGTGCTCATACTTATAAGAAACTAGAAGATGTGTTATAAGACTTGCTACTATTGATGAAATGAAGTGGCATACTGAATTTTATGCTGATTTTGGTGTAGTGTGGATTTGAGAAGCTTAGTGGAACAAAACAAACCCAATTTCATTCCGCCTACATCCCGTATGACCAATTATGTTGTTCTAAGGTTCAGCGACAACAAGTTTGAGCCGAATGTAAGTTTTCCTTCTCGTTTCATTGATTTGAGGGACTCCATGTTTTGATTGCATTTTTTTTGTTAATCTGCACAATTATCAATGTATTGTATTAAAATATTATATCCTATAAACAATCCTCTCTAATCCTTTCCTCTTGTCTATTTAGATATTTGGGCTGTTGATCATAAGCATTACTAATCTGTTTGATAACTTAAAAAGGAAAATTGTTAAAAAATACCTAGCTTAAGCTCTGAAAAAGGGTTGGGGAAATGTGGGAGGGACTGGAGAAGGAAACTATTCAGTTTGAAACTAAGATTTACAAGTGTAGAAAAATTACAACGCTAAGGTTTAATGTATTGTTAAGTGTTATCTTGTTTTAGAAGTATTAAGGATATCATAGCTTCAATACTGCAACTTATGTGCACAAAACTTGACAGATCTGTTATTAGAAGCAAAAAACTTAGACATACAGGATTGGAACTGATGATGTGAACTTTGGCTTGAGGGGAGTCAAATTTTGATATCTGATATGCCATCTGTGAAGTGAAAAGTGGCTAAATATATGGTTGTATGCCACTCCTTCTTAATGCAAAAAAGTCATCGGTGGCTTTATAAGTTTGAGTAGTGCAAGTGAATTGTGGGATGCAGTTTTTTGCGTGTATTCTCATGAAACTAATGCAGCATTGTTACCATATTTCGTGGAGGCTAACCAATTTTATCAGGAAGAGGAGTCATACAGTGTAGAAGTCATTTCATTCAGTTTGCGCGTTTGGGTTTGATTCATTGGATTATCTTAAAGAGTGTAGGCCTTTTCATATTGCAGATATGATGGTTATTTGAGAAATGGTTGGGCATTTTCATGTTCTCTCTCTTTCATGGACGAAATCTGAACGTGTTCCTGATAAGGATCCTCCCTTTGGTCAACAATATGCCCACCTCTGTGGTGGGGAGAGTATGCATGACATTATGATGCAGTAAAAAAATAATGCACCTGCCCATTATTGGCCCACCTTAGTATCAGCTACTAATCAAAGTTGATGAGGTGCCGTATGGGTGTTAGACAGTTTTTAGTGCTGACAAGAAGTAATTGCAATAAGGAAAAACATGGAATCTGTTGAAGGAGACCTGTTAGGAACTGCACATTAGTCTTTCTCCTTTTCCCTAGTTTCAGCTCTAGTCATGTGAGTATCACTCATAACGGATTCTCAAGCATTACTATCAGCAATCATGATGCTTTACAAATTGTACACGTCAATTCATCATCCTCTTCAAGATGTGACCATTAATTTTGGGAGAGTACTATGAAAGAATGCAAGATTGTAACATTCAGTTGGATGGCCCTCTTTTTGCAACCTTCATATTTGATCAATCAGGTAGAATGGCTTAAGCTCTCTGTACATGCACCTGGTTCTTTCCCGCTTGGATCCTCAATTCTGGTGCATCAAACGTCAAAATTAGTATGTGCTTATTTGAAGGAAGCATGATAAATTCTGTTTCAATTGATAAGTTTAGTGTGTCATACAATAGCCTTATCTACTTTCTCAGGAAGCAGAGTGATTGTACTTATTCCCGGACAGTTCATTGTATGATTAACAATTTTACTAAGACTGATCATGGAAAGTGCAATCCTCCATCACTAATTTTAGGCACAGTAGTGACTTCATTAACTTTCCTTAATTCCATGACCTCTAGTTTTCTAGTCATAATTACTTCATCATAATGTGCTTTTATGCGACTTTTATCAAATCCAAATTCCAATTTTGTACATGATACATGCAATCCAGAAATTTCTAAATTTAATGAGCATGATTCATCAAACTGAATGTTTTTCTTAAATCTTTGTTATTATTATTGATATTATTATTTTTGTCTCAGGGTTCGGGTTCCAGTTTAAGTGGAAGTGACTGCTGTTACATGGTAGTTTTTCAGTATGGCTCAATTGTCTTGTTTAATGTTCATGATCATGACGTTGATGGATATATTAAAATCGTAGAAAAGCATGCTTCAGGATTGCTCCCTGAGATGAGAAAGGATGGTGAGCTTTAATGTATAGAATTCCTATAGATGAATTATAGAGTTTAAGTTTATAAAAATTGTTCAACAAAATCATTTGATCTTTCCTTTTTATGTGATATGCTATATGAGAAACACTTTTGCATCTGAGAGAAGTTCAAGGATTAGCTAAAAATGTCATGAGCGATAATATGAGAACAGAATAGGTTGAAAGTAATGTTTCTTATCAACCAAAAAAACAAAGATATCTTCATTGCATTTATTAACATGAAGGCTGAAGATTTTAATTTTTGCACTTTCATATGGCCAGGAATGATTTGATGTTAAAGGGTCAAGTAATCCAACTAAAGATGCACACATAGCCTCATTTTGTTGATTTCAGTGATTTCCAGGTTGTTTGAAGTGGCGCGCTATTGCTGGATTTAATTGATTATGTCAGATGTTAGAAGTTCTCCTAACAGGCACCTACGTTATTCCTTAGATGTCTCAAAGTTCCTCAATGAATGTTACTTGTAAATACTTTGGAGTTGTTGATCAGCGGTCCACTAGATTCCACAAATATAGCTCAAATTGTGACTGTGAGGTTTATGGAAGAGGAATGTTTTCCCATGGCCAGAAGAAAAAAGGAGGCTTAGTAAAGACCAGAACCTACTTGAAAAAAGGAGGCTTAGTAAAGACCAGAACCTACTTGAATTTATTAAATTAAAAAATCACTTTCTGGTTTTCAAGACCAAGTGTCAGATGTGCTCTATAATTGTGTTGGTCTGAGAAAAATACACACATCACTTGTGCTTGTACAATTTGTCTTTGGTCCTCCAAAAGTTTGTTTGAAGATTTTTAATGCTCCAACAGTTATCAATTGCCAATTGGCATCTTACCTTTGTGAGAGGATGTTGGCTTACAGGTTCTGCTCTAATTTGTTGGTTAGAGGGGTGGATGTGCTAGCGTGCTACAGCTGCACTCCTTATGGATCTTACCTAACACTATGTCTCCTCCCTTGTTTCATTTAGTTACAGTTAGTTACCTCCCTGTAGAAAATTTGGTGGCAACCAGGCATGTTGGATTATTTGACCCAATTTAAATAGCTGAAATTACCCTTTTAGCTATTATTTTTGGAAAACAAGTATGAGTTCTAAAAGTGTGTGTTTGCGTGCGATAGAGAGTGAGAGAAGGGAGGAAGGGAGGGAGGAAGGTAGCGATACAACTTGACCAATCGGCGTATTCATATTGCGTGTGGGTTTTTTCTTTAATAAAACTTTCTTCCCCCTTTTAGGAGAAATGGAGGTGGGGTCCCACCATTTGACCTGAGTTAATTGCTTTTTTACTCTTCATGAATACATTGCCATGCACTTAAATATGTCTGGCTTACTAGAATGGTCTTGTGCTCCAGTTAAAATCCATTTTTGACAGTTTAAAGGCCCACTTAAAATTGGGATAGAAGAACTGGATTAGAAGGGAAATGTAATATTAGAGGTTCTGAGTAGCTGGTACAGGCTAGTCTATCTGTGCATGTATCTCAAAACAGTTTCTAATATACTTCCTTTTTACATACAAAAGTCAGTAGGGGTGCAAACTCATGAATGCACAAAATATACACAAAATGAACTATACAATAACCATGCTCTGATGTGAGTATTTCTTTAATACTGTGGGGAGGTCCAGCATGCCTCTTCCTTAATCTCTTGTTGGTATTTTTCCGTTTCTGATTACATATATCTAGAGTAGCAAAGTTGATGGCATTTGTGGTATACAGTTTATTGAGACAGTACTCCTTCCTTGCCTCCCTCCCTTGTTACTTTTTCATCACATGCATAATAACATTAATGGTGAGGAACATTTGACAATGGACATTTTGACATTTTTTCTTTTTAAAAATTATATGTGAAATAGTGTAGGATTCTTTTAATTAAGTGTTTGGTTAGAATTACATTAAGCAAATCATTTAATTTTTTTGCTGTTATTATCATCTATTTTTCCACCCAAGTATTGTTAGATTTATGAGCACTTTGCAAGATGATTTGCTTTTTCTGTTTTGAAAATTTCAGTTAACTGAACTTTACTTTGTGTTTGAAAATATAGAGTATGAGGTGAGAGAGAAACCAACTCTAGTAACATGGATGCAAGGTGGATTAGATTACATAATGTTGCAGTACTTGAATATTGATGGAATCCGTACCATTGGCAGTGTTCTTGGTCAAAGTATTGCTCTTGATTACTATGTACGCCAGGTATACAACAAACCAGCTTAATATTTTTATATTGTGGAGTTCATGCTTGGTTAAATGTATTCAGAATACTTCCTTTTTTTTTTTTTAACCTTGCAGGTTGATGGAATAGTTGCAGAATTCACTGACATTAACCGTGGGATGGAAAAAACTGGAACCTTTACAATGGAAAGGAAAAAACTTTTTCAATTAGTGGGAAAGGCAAATTCTAATCTAGCTGATGTGATTCTTAAGCTTGGACTTTTTGAGAGGTAATTGTTCTATTGCTAGTACTGAAGGAAAATAATTGAAATTATGTTACTGTTTCAAAATTCAACAATGTGTCAATTACATTGGTACTTATATAGAATTTTAAACGAAAAACCAATAAACTAATTTTTTGAAGGCTTATAACAGAAAAGAAACATTAATTTGTAAATATTTTAGTTAACTTGGTTTATTTGTCGAATTTTTTAGGCAAAAACCCATATTTTGCACTCTTATAAGTGATGGGAAACGTGCAAGTTTTTAAAACTTTTCGAGGGATTTTAATTCATAGATCTTGATTCATTACATAGAGACAAGTTTTATGCAAAAATAAAACATAATATATCATTCAATTAACAGATTGAATACTTACATCAAAGGTCTGAGTAAACCTTTAAAACTTTCCTTTAAAGTAAATGTTCTCACTTATTGTAGATCTCTTAGCAAGATGCCTTCTCTTTGGATCTCCATCTTCTTGGTAATTGTTTTGCCTTTAGGAATCACTCATAAGCCTCCATGAATGACCTTGGAAAAATAGGCTTGTGGGAGCCTCCATTAGATGAGAATATAAACCCTAATTTTTTAGAGAGAGAAAATAAATTCCTTTTTCCTTCCTCCAAAAATCACACCCAAAATATACATAGACCATGTATATTTATAGGCAACATAAAAATAAAGAAAAGGAAACAACAAATCCTTCTCAATCTCTAATTCATATGTCTCAAATCTAATATGATTCCAGTATCAAATTGGGCTTTGAGTGAGAATCCATTGGGCCTATTAAAAGAAATTAATTGAATTCCAATTAAATAATAAATAACCTCTAAGTCAATATTACACTTTGACCCCTCTATTTTTAATTAGTTATCGGATAAATAAAACTATCAATCCGACTACTTAATTAATATATTTATTTTGGTACCATTGATTATTTCTGGCTCGACCACAATAAAACATTTGTTTGAAAAAAATAATAATTTAAATAAATAAATATATAATAAATCATTTTGTCTAAAAACACACGAAGGCCTTCGAATTTACTTTGTGATCAACCATAATCAATACAAAATAAATACAAGTAGTAATGATGCAAATATTGAAAATATAACCCTCAACTATTAATCACATAACTGCCCAAAGTGTCTGTCTAAGGATCCCGAAGAATCTGCCGAACAAATCAAAGTAATTATTAATTAATAAAAGAGTTTATAATTTTCTCATGCTTAAGAGTCAAATGCCATGACGATGATAGGGAACAATTGCATACGACGGCTCTCGCAATATATCTCAACTTAACGCGGATCCAGTTCAAATCTTAATTAATTATGAGTCCATCCATAATTACCGACTATGAACCATTTATGATTACTATTTATATATCATGCATTGATTGCCATCACATACATAAATATAAATATCTCTTGTAATCAAATGGATACTATCAATTCTATAATGAATCGAAATATAATACATTGAATTCACCAATTGTATAAAACATAAATATTTCAGAAACGTCAGGAACATATGTCACTTTAATCCAAACAGGAATTTGCTATGCCAGGGCATATAAATCCCAACAGCTCCCACTTGCCCTCATAGCCAATTCAAATTGCACATAACTCCAATGTTATCCAGATGATGATCAAAATTATTGATCAATGACACCTTTGATAATGGATCAATAAAGTTGTGTTCCAATGCAATGTTCTAGCTACAAGTACATTTTCTTGCCGGACAATATCATATAGAACATGATACTTCTTCTCAGTGTATCTTGTTCCTCTATAGAACCTTGGGTCATTGGTTTGGATTACTTCTGCACTATTGTCACAACATAGCTCAATAGGCAGGCTAGTATACTCCACAACCTCTAAATCAGTGAGATTAAACCAATAGGCTTCCTTTGCCGCCTTTAAGGCTGCAATATATTCCACCTGCAGGTTTGAGTCAGCAGTTGAAATCTGCTTAACAATCTACGAACTGATTTCCCTTCCATTAAGTGAACATACACAAAGTCACGAACCTCATAGTATTTACTTCTGATTGAAAATCAAAACTAGCATACTTGACTAGGACCATATCATCACATCCATAAATAAGTATGATATCATTGATTCTCCTTAGGTACTTAATAATATTTTTCACAACAGACCAGTTATCAAGTCCAAGATTGGACTGATATCATATGACTATCCCTACAATGTAGCGGATGTCATGTTTGGTATAGACCATGTTATATATGAGACTCCCATATGCCAAAGCATATAGTTCCAGTCTCATTTGCTTAATCTCCTCTGCTAGTCTTGGAAAACTACTTACTAGAGAGAGCAATCCATATTAATAAAGTAAAAACTCATTCTTTGAGTTATACATACCAAACCTGGTCAAAGCTTTATTAATGTAGGATTATTAAGATAAGCCTATTTTCCTTTTAACCCGATCTTGCAAAAGCTTGATCCTAGGAATATAGCTTACATCTTGAAAAATCCTTCATTTAAAAGTAATTGAACAACTACCTCTTTATTGATGACAAACCTTCCACATCATTCTATATGAGTAGGTTGTCATCAATATATATAGAATCAGAAAAATAATGACATTCCCTTGTACACCCATAATTTATTCACTAAGAAATCTTCTGGTATCTTTTTGTAGATTAACTTGCCTTCCATAGGAATCACCCTACTAAAAAGTTCTACAAGATCCCAGAATTTATTAGAATACATAGATTCCAACTCTGATTTCATAGTAACTCGCCAAAACGATCTGTATCCATATCGGTTCACGCTTCCGTGTAGCTTACTGGGTCCAACTCATGTTTAACAGGGATGTCCATAACGGTCTCACCTAAAAACATGATTCTGTCGGATTAGATAATTATCCTCCCACTACATCAATGTACCGATGAAGGAATCTGTGTACTAGACGATGCTGACGCATCAATAGGGAATTCATCTATAATTCTAAATCTCTATACTAAGTGTGTTCATATGTGGTACATCTGGTACTCATACCATATTCTCTAACACTATGCTACTAGGTATGTGATTCATAATATGATTCTCCTATAGATAAACAGTGAGTGTAAACAATCAACTTTTATCATTGAGATCATAAAATAATCCGTCCTAGTGACTTTTAGAGTAGCTATCAAATCTATCATGCGTATGATCTGTTTCCAACTTACTTGTCCATATCAAGCACACATGTGCAAGACTACCCCATATGCGCATGTGATTCAGACTAAAGATTTAGTCAAAAACACAGCTCAACGGTATCCTTGAGACAGACTAAGATGGAATGCAGTTCATAATGCGCATCGATGTCATTAACGCTAAACTCTTAAATGAAAGAGATAATGTGGCATAAGTGATCATAGATCTAACCATGTTAAGAGGAATTCTGTTATTCCTATTTGACACCTAAATGCATTTAGCGTCAATTGAGGAAAACTGGTACACAACACCCTCATTGACCATATAGTCTTTGCACTATCCCAAGAAATACTCATTTCCTCAATCAGATCGAAGTATCTTGATAAGTTTACCTAATCTGTGCTCCACATCAGTCTTGACCTTCTCAGAATATACCAAGAATTTAAGACTTGTGTTGCATCAGATAAACTTATCCAAAATGTGAGTAATCTTGCTTGGATGTTCATAAGACCACACGTGTCAGTGTGTACCGACTCCAATTGTCCTTTATGTCTATTTCATTTGGCTGATTAAGCCCTTAGAGTTATCTATCCTTCAAAACAGGATTCACAAGTTTGGTTTAGACTCCTCTGCCTCACTAGGTAATTAACCTTCTTTGACCAATCTTTGAATCTCATTTTGACTGATTACAACCCAAAAATAGACACTAAAAATACAATGAGTCAGGAATAACAATTTTTCTCTTAACATTCAATCTAGAAGATGCAACATTAGTTTCTACATCCTGCAAATCTTAAGAGTTTGTGATTATAGTATATTAACCATCTTTCAATACACCAGAAGTAATCGCATATCTATTCAATTTTATAAAACCAGTTTTACAAAATAACAACACAGTTTTTATAAACCACAAGTGAAACAAGAATAAGATAGCGTCTAACTTCTGTGCATAAAGATAGTTCTCTAATACTAATATCCTCATACTTTCTATTTTCAGATGTAATACTCCCACTGACTTAGCTACAACCTTGACATTAGGTCAAGTACAAATATATTCCATATCATCGAGGCTTCTGGATTCCTGAAATCCTTGCAATGAATTGCAAACATGTTTAGTGGCTTCAGAATCTATTCATCAGGAATTAATAGATACAACCACATAACATGGCTCAGTGATTAAATTTATATTTTCTTATGCCACGTCATTGCTTAGACAGTTTGTCCTTTAGTGTCTTAGTTAGCGACAAAAGAAACAGTTTTCTTTGCCCTCAACATACACTGCCTTATTCCCTTTAACCTTTTAGATACCCATGTTTTGTGTTAGCCTAGTCCTATTATCATCCTTCTTCTTTACTTTGCCCTTCACCTTGGGCCTAGAAGAAGATGGTATAGACTAGGTTAGATTGATAGGAATGCTTATACTATTTGATTATCCTTTCATTTGTTACCAATTCTATAAGAATATCAGCGAGTGTGAACTCAAACTGATTCCTTATTTAGTTCACTATAAAAGAGTCGAACGAGTTTGGTAATAAGGCAATAATCATGTCAACTTGAAACTTACCACCCAAGTCAGCCCTATTGATCTCCAGCTAATTTTTTTTAAATAATAAACTATCATTTTACAAAATTCGATCTCATACTGGAGTTCCTTAGGCTATCTTGATGCTATTCAAGTCTGACATAGTACTTTGGTATACTCTCTATCTAATCTCACCAAAACATCTTATTGAAATTTAACATGGTGCTTGAAGAAAATAAAATAATGTAAATGTTAGCTTTGGAGCGTATTCGAGGAAAACTCTAGAATATTGCACCAAGTCATCTCATTTGCCTTATTTCACTTATTC